TTTGGCTGACTGATGCAAGAGGTGTTCCACTGAAGAGCCAAGCAGAATGTCCCAGTTTCCAGTTCCTCGCCAGTAGTTAGCAGAGCCTGCTCTTGGGGAGAGGGCAGCTTCCCGTGTGTGCCTGCTGCAAGTTCCCTCCTGTTTGCTGGGCTATGTCCCTGTTAGCACTGCGAAAAGTGGCTCTCCTGCATCACTTCTTCTTTGGGGGTGCTCCTGCCCTGGCCCTGCACCTGAGGCTTGCAATGAAAACGTCAGAGGAAATTGGATGCGTCTTATTCCCTCGTTGGGTTATTTTGCAGAGAAACAGATGGGGAGGACTTTGGAGGAGCTGATCTCGCAGTTTGAAATAGGCAGAATTACAACCCACTCGGCCCTCTTGGATCTTGAAAACCTCCCAGAATTCAACAGGTATAAATATCTGTGATAACTTTAAAACTTAATAGTGCATCGGTGAGAATTTTCTCCTGGTGTTTGGCTTTGTCTGGCAATTTTGTTTATTGGATGAAGCGCGGTCCCAGCACAGAGGCTTTTTTGCTGCACTACAGCAAAGTTTAAGTTTCTGCTCGCACCATTCCTGTCTCCTCTCCCATCCTGTGCTTGCACACTGGTGTTGGCCACACTGTAAAAACCTGGGCAGATGGTGTGTCGCTGGGAGGATGCAAGGTCTTAAGTTTTGATTCAAAATAACATCTAAAAAGAGGCACCACTCCCAGAAGGTACTTCTGCAAGTACACTCGTGCGCTATGGGGATGTTGTGCAGTTGAGAGTTCCCACATCTTTTGTTCACTGTGCTGCATTTGTGCTGAAGGCTTGGTTGTAGAATATCTGTTCAGGGTTTAATGTTGCTTTTCTAACAGTTTTAATTGGTAAATGTTGTGAGGTTGGGATGATTAGATACAATCTAACCCAAAGCAGTCCAAAAGCAGTTTTCTTCTTCGTTACAGGATTCACCTCACCCGTCATATTGAGAATGAGGGGCTGCGACAGAAGCTAATTAGAGAGTTGCAGTTGCTGGTGGAGCACGTCTATGGAGATCAGCAAGTGGAACAAGAGGTTCTAGAAAAGGAGTATGTGGAGCGAGTCCTCCTGCTGAGAAAAGTACGAGCAGTGATGGCATTCTGTCACCGTTTTGGGGAGCTGAGGTTTTGTGGGGTTCCTGGATAAAGACTCAGCTGAGTTCTGGGCACTGCTTTGATGTGAGCTCTGAAGCTCCACAGCCTGAAAATGGCTCCCACTGCCAGCTCAAGCGATTGTGTGCATGCTGACTGCCACAATCCGGTGACTGAGTGCGCCCTCAGTCAGTTTGCAGATGACACCAATCTGGGTGGGAGTATGGATCTGCTGGGGAGGAGGAAGGTTCTGCAGAGGAACCTGGCCAGGCTGGATCCATGGGCACAGGCCAATTGGGGGAGGTTCAACAAGGCCAAGGGCTGGGTCCTGCCCTGGCGTCACAACAACCCTCCACAACACTACAGGCGTGGGGAAGAGTGGCTGGAAAGCTGCCCGGTGGAAAAGGACCTAGGGGTGTTGG